GATTTTTTTTTTTTTTTAACTATTCCCTCTATTTCCTTTCCAGCATCACTTTGCTATTTTGCAAAGTGAACTTGCTTTCACTGAATATAGTTGACATATTTTCAAATGCAAGTCTTTTAGGAGGAGAAAGCTTAAAGGGATTTAATATTCTCCTCTTTGAATGGGCCAGAAATGTCAGCATTCTTTTATTCATCAAGATGTTCTCAAAAGCAAACACTTTTATACCACTCTTTGAAAGGTTCGTTATGACTATTGCAGCGTAGATATGTTATCTTTTTTGCTATTGCATTCAGAAACATTTGCAAAAAAACCTCAGTTAATGAAATATTCATTATGCTCTGACTGTGGGTAATCTTTGGTATATATACAAAACTTCAGAAATCCTAAATATGTTAGGGCAGAAATTAGACTTAGTATCTGCTTTTTAGAACTGAGGATATGTTGTTTTCTATACTCATGTGGGGAAGCCCAAGGAGAGAAAAATCACATCTGCTAATGGTTCAGCATCAACTAGCACTGAAGTTAAGCCTAATAGAAGCCCAAAAAACCATGGAAGGTCTGCTCAGGCTTTTTCCGTGAAACAAGATTTGTTTATGTAAGTGTCTATTTAAAAATGTAGCATTTTTTGCAGTGCTTTCCCTGGCATAGGAGTACCTAAAAATCCTAAATGGAAGAAAGTGGAAGAAAAAAGTGAAACAAACTATGCTTTAAGGCATGATGTGTCTTGTGTGTATCTCAGTCTGTGTCTTCTCAATATCTGTTTGGCCAGTCATACTGCAAAACTGTAACTACCCACCTGCTGTGAAAAAACTGTCCTAACTGTCTGGGCTCTGATAGTTTTGCAACTAGTGTGTGGTACGCTGGTTCTTCTACTGTACACCAGCCCCCACGCAATCCTGTACTATGTATTTCCTCTCCCTTTGCCCTGTGATTCATTCAAGCTACAATGCCTAGGTAACGCTTTTTAGATTTCCTGTTGCTTGATGCCCATTTAAGTACTATTTAGCAGACGTAGAATCATGCCTGAAAGACTTAATTCTTGAGGAGAAAGAGAATGTGCCAGTAGACTTTCTCAAAAATCACTGTCTTGCAACATGAATTCTTAATTACTGCTCTTGCTGGAAGTCAAGTATTCTGTTTCTTACCTGCTTATGAATACTGTGACAATACCTGCAAGTTGTGAAGGTGCAAAGCCTGTTTTATGCAGTGTCTAAAATTGTTCGAAACTGTATTTGTCTGTGTAGTGGGAAGTGTGATAGCTTGTTGAAAACCACATTTCTAGTACCCTAGAACCCATTTCCATTCTAGTACCCATTTCCAGTCATTGTGGGCTTCTGATGCGAGTAAGCAAACAAACGTGCAGGCTATAGGCTTCCCAAACATGCTTGGTCTTTACTTAGATGGTGAACTGCGAGAATGCAAATCATTTAGAAAACCCTTTTTCATCATCATCTTTGGGAGTTTGGGAGAAGAGAGAAAATGGAGGGATTGTTGTGTTCAGGAAAGCAGCTGCTTCTTATACTGGGCTTTTCAGCAGCTTTCCTCACCTTGGCCTGGTGAGAAATGCATCCCTGTGTGCTTGTATTTAGGGACAGCGTAGCTTAATCAGGGGATGAAGGGATAATGAGGAATTTAATGCCATGTACTGATTTCTAAAGACCTTTGAAGCGCTGTGCCCCTTACTCTTGTCTAGGGACACAAAGGCCACTATTGATACCTGGTGTTCAGTTGGTCCTTGCACTGAATTTGGCCAGCATTCAAAGGTGATAGTTCCTCTTGCCCTGGAAACACAGTGGCATCTTTAAAACTTGTGCTTTTAGGGTGGCAGTTATTTGTTATTCTCCACAAGGGCAAGCCCTCTTAAGAGTGTATGTTAAATTAATGCTGAACAGGTGTTCATCAGATGGCAGTTTAGTTATGGAAGATGACAATAATTCTGCATGAGTCTCTTCAGTCTATCTAATCTACTTTAAATTGTTCTTGGCATTCCTCATGCCAGAAAAGAAGGTCTCAAAATCGAGGAGTTTCAGCTTTCAACATTCATGGGACAGGGGAATGCACGTCGTACGAGTCTCTATTAGCTGTTTTGCAGTCTTGGCTTGTAGTTCTAAGGGAAACGCTGTGGTGTTTCTGTATCAACTGTTCTCAGTAGTGCAGCCATTTCTTGCAACATTTTAGACCTTCCCAAATCTCAATTAAATTTAGCTTTGCAGTCACTGTTGACAATTGATCTTTTTGCTTTCACAGATGTTTTTTGGCTGTTTGAAGACTAGAGAGAAGTTATTTTGAGGGAGAAGCTATGCTGGAAGAAATCATACTCAGCCTCAGTCTCAAAATTATTACCAGCTTGCAATCTGAACCTTTGCTTTGTCTTAAGCATTGCAAGCACTCGGAATCCACTCCTGCCCAAGTAAATCTCTGTGAAAGGTATCAAAAGTTTCACATCTCTATCTGGAAGAGTGGATGTTCCCACTGTGGTTACAGTCAAAACTGTCAGAGGCTGATTGTTGAATATGTCCTTCCATGTCTAGCAGGAAGAAGGTCTGAAGAGGTCATCGTTTTCTTTTCAAGACAAATGTGACATGTTGCTTCCCTGCTGCAGTGAAATGGTTTCTAATCTATTTGTCATTGTATGTTTTTGGTAAAGTATTCACGTTTCGTCTCATTTAGAGGATCCAGGTGTTCTTGAATACAAAGTTTTATTTAAAATGTTGGCCTTGGTAAGGAATCTGTCCAAGCATGTAGAGATTATAGTCCTCTAACTTGCAGACACCCACAAGAGCATTTGAAAAAAAAAATACAAAGAAAGAATCAAGACAGCTTTTGTTTTGTTGCATCCTGTGGGGTGCACAGTGTGGGAATGCCCATGTGGACTTCAGTTGAATTCCTTCTGTCAGGCAAAAACTTCTGTTAAATTAACTAGTCAGGTGAGATGTAAGGGGTCATTAGAGTGATCATGCAGTCTGAATGGGTGATCTGACAGAGGGCCTCATGCTTGGAACAGTTCAAAACTGGTGTCAGAGTTGTCTTATGATAAAGTCGGTATGTTTCATAAGAAGGGAAGAGCCGTCATCATTTCCCGTGCAGTACAGGCACAGACTTTGTACTGACTTTGTATTCTGCCTTAACTACAGCCTCTGTAACCTTCTTTGGTCACATTGGACATTTTTTGGGTATATGTTACCTGGGCTGTAGTATGTCCATTATGTGTGTTCCAAATTTTAGATTATCAGTGAAGCCCTCATCCTGATGCTTGAACTTGCCCAGC